ATATTTTTTTTTTATTTTTTATTTTTTATTTTTTTTTTTTTTGAGACATGGGTAAAACAATGAAAGTTTTAACAATAAAAGGTATTTGAAAACTATCAAAAATAAATAATGAAAACATCAAAAAATGATACAAAATAGAAAAATGCTGAAATGCTGAAATCAGCCGCTGGGACATAGTAGTACTCATAATTGAAGAAACACCCAAAGATGAGGTTCTCTTTATCCAAACACTATGGGAGTCACACTGGGAGTGGATCATTTTACTAATTAACTAATGATGATTATTTGACTCAGCAGAGGGCTCCAAAATGAACTGTCACAGTGGCTGTTTTACGCGTCTCTGAACACCTGTGATTAAGCCCCTACAATAACACCAAACTATCTCTCCCATGCAGATTAAGTGTGATCTTCTCTGCACTACCGGGCATGCCCACTTCAGTAACCAATACCATGCAATCTTATCGAGTATCTTGATTTCTTCATGTTTTCCATTAGCTCTGTGTGTGTATGACTTCATTGCTTGGACTTGGTGAATGAGTGAAAGTTCTTGTATGTGCTCGACCGGTAATGATGGTGGATTGTAAACGATGAAATAACTTAAAATAAGCTTTTCTTCCTTTTTATTAGTCCTTTTCCTGCAAACCTCCTACATCAGTGTCTCTGACATATTTTGTGCTGTATGTAGGTGATGAACTTCTCGGGATGGATGGGGCTCGCAGACAACGTTAGCCCAGTGGCCAGCCCCATCCACACTGGGTCAGTGCACATATTTCACATTCAGCCTAACAAATCCAGTAACCAGCCGTTACCAACCCTTGCTAATGGCTTCTCACCGCTTTTATCTCCGTATTTATCTGTTGGTCATAAATGCTTATTTTTATACCTGTCTTCACTGTCATCAAGTGTCTAGGAAGTAGGTTCTTTTGAAGATGTTTTAGCTTTATACTGGGCTTCCGGCTGTTTTGAAAAGTTATTGTACCCGGTTTGCTCACTGGCTGGTTGTTTGACAGGTTTCTGGTCAGCTTCATGGTGGATGCGAGAGGCGGGTCCATGCGTGGCAGCAGGCATAATGGTCTGCGTGTGATCATCCCACCGCGCACCTGCGCAGCCCCCACACGCATCACCTGCCGTCTGGTCAAACCGCAGAAACTCACCACCCCACCTCCTCTCGTGGAGGGAGAGGGACTCGCATCTCGTATTATCTCCCTAGGGCCTTCCAGTATGCAGTTTCTGGGGTAAGGGTCTGTGTGTACAGTGAGGATGGCATATGCTTCAACCGTTCTGGATCTGCTATTTTGGTTCCTTAATGATATATATATATATATATATATATATTCTGTTTCTTTCTTACTTAGTATTTCTTTCTTTCTTAGTATTTTTGTGTTATTTACCAGTACACATATCTAAACACTCAAGATAAATTAACTTGAGAAGTAAGTTTCTCAAATTAGTGGGTTTATGCTAAAACAAGACATTAAAAAAAAACTGCCAGTGGGGCAAGAAAAATAAACTTGTTTTCTCTTTGAATTAAGTTTATTTTTCTGACCCCACTGGCAGATTTTTTTAGTTTGTTTGTTTTGTTTTAAGCATAAACTCACTTAATTTTGATACAAAAAAATGTTTTCAAAAAACAAGACTTCTTAAGCAAATCTGAATTTGTATATTGATATGTCTTGATTTAAGAATGTTTCGATATTTGTACTGAAACCAGACAAAAAATACTGAGGTAAAAATATTTTTTGTAGCGCTTATAGTAGAACTGAATAAATACAGAATGAAAATAATTTTTGTGAATAAATCTTACTGTATTCATTCAGAATCTAGTTGTCAAATAAAGATCTTTTCAGATTTCTGACAACAGAACAGTAATAACAAATCATATAATAATATAATATCATATCATGTAATAATTATAATAATATAATTATTATAATATAATGTACATTTAATTGACCTATTTTAATGTCTGCTATTCTACTATATTTTTATATTACTTATATTATTTTTATATATGGTTTATATTATTTTTATGTATTGTTAGGGATTTATGAAATTTATATTCTTCTTGGATATTCTTCTTCTTTTCTTTCTATTGTGCTGCTGTGCCAAGTTGAATTTTTCCTATCAATCACTGAAGGAACAATACAATACAATAACAAATGCTTTTGCGCTTTCCCATCATCCCTTTCAGGCCAGTGATAGTGGAGATCCCTCATTTCGCGTCCTTGAGCCGAGGTGATCGGGAACTAGTGGTTCTCCGAAGTGAGAATGGCTCTGTATGGAAAGAGCATCGAAACCGCTATGGTGATGATGTTCTAGAAACCATCCTTAATGGCATGGATGAAGGTAGTCTTAGGTTTTACTGAGACGAATTCCCATAAGCCTTTTATAGTTTTATTTTCTCTTTCAGTTATGTAGCATGAGGTGCTAGCAGACAAATGACATATCACTTTATACTGCACCAACAATTTCTGCAGGACTGACATGTATGACCTTGTTTTCTCTGGGTGCCTTCATCAGATCTGGAAAGTCAGGAGGAGCTGGAGAAGAAAAGAATCCGCCGCATCATCTCCACAGACTTCCCTCTCTACTTTGCTGTGGTGTCACGTGTCCAGCAGGAGAGCGATCTTATAGGTCCGGAGGGAGGTCAGCTGACAAGTAAGCTGGTACCCCAGGTCCAGGCCATTTTTCCTGACACGGCGGTCACTAAGAGGGTTCGACTTGGCCTACAGGTGAAATTTCAGGACATTTTAGGATGTAGAGAATGGCAGTGAAGCAATATCAGCACACAATAATGAATTTATGATTCATACAGAATTTTACAGAATATACAGTATGTGACCCTGGACCACAAAACCAGTCTTAAGTGTACATTTTTCAAAATTGAGATTTATACATCATCTGAAAGCTGAATATATAAGCTTTCCATTGATGTATGGTTTGTTAGGATAGGACAATATTTGGCCGAGATACAACTATTTGAAAATATGTACCCCAGTGACTTAAGACTGGTTTTGTGGTCCAGGGTCACATATGATTACAGCCCCATAAGCCCATTCAAACTGAACTTGCACATAATCACCACTCATAATGTGATTATAGGTGATACTTGAAAAAAAATGTTACCTTTGTTCATAAAGTTTCTAAGATAAATAATAATAATGATTATTATTAATTATAATAATGAATAAAAAATATTGTTTCAAGGTTGCTGTAAATTCATCAGAGAATAACTGAAAATTATTTCAGTAATAAATGATTTATACATTTTTGTGACTTTATTTCTATTCCTCTTGTCTCTACCCAGGCCCAGCCAATCCCTGATGAGTTGCTGACTCGGCAGTTAGGAAACCAGGCCACATTCAGTCCTGTTGTGACAGTGGAGCCTCGTCGACGCAAATTCCACCGACCAATTGGACTCCGTATCCCTTTACCTCCATCCTGGAGGGAGAGTCCACGCGATGCCGGCGAAGGAGACACTACTAGCCTCCGCCTCCTCTGCAGTGTTATTGGTACGGTCCGGTCCTGATCTGTTTCAAAGAAAACACTGTCTGAAATTGATATTTATGTTTTGGAGAAAGGCAGATTGCCTTGGATGCCAGTCTTTTTCAGCCTCAGCCAGATTTGATGTAGCTGCCCTGCCAAGCTGCTTGGAAAAGGCTGAAACAGACTGGTGTCCTGCCTGGAGAGGGACACTGGGATAAAGATAGACTCAGCAAGTTCATTCCAGATGGTGTTGGTTGAAGAAAAAAAAAAAGGGTTTTTATAAAAAGCTGTAAACCTTCTGCAGGTGGCACTGCTCCCGCTCAGTGGGAGGACATCACTGGCACCACCAAGCTCATGTATTCCCACAACTGTGCCAACTTCACCACCAATGTGTCCGCAAGGTGAGACACAAAAGCACGCAAGAATAGAGCACCCAGGGGCGAATTTACTAAACAGTTGCACCAATTTGTGAATTGCGTTGTATTTTAGCACAAAAATATGCATCTTATTAACGAACTACCTGCAATATGTTTTAGCTAGTCACTATATGTGCTGAAATAGCACTGCGCCACAAAAACTATAGTATGTAGATTGCACATTATTCTCAAATCTCAGCACTTTTTTTTTTCTGTTTTTTTTTTTCTATACTATTACTGCTATTACCAACTTTTAAAAAATAGTAAATTTTATTTTTGATTTGTTTTGTTTTTTTGTTTCATTTTATTTCATTTATTTTGTTTTGTTGTTCGTATCCACTTTCTAGTGATAATTGCAACATAAATTCATTGAATGATTAAGCGTTTGCTACAACACAGACAGTGTGTGCAAGTAAACAATGCCATCACTATTACAATTCATTTTTGCTCAGATTCATGGTAGCCACCACTACAACCCATAGAACTGTCACTCGTTTGTATTTATGCGATTTACAAGTAAAAATTGTCGTCTCTTGTGACCCTGTTTTCTGATCTCTATTGTACGTGCATCTCTCCTCTGTTTCGCTGCAGGTTCTGGCTGGCGGACTGTCCACGAACGGCGGAGGCCGTGACCTTCGCCAACCTGCTGTACCGTGAGCTGATGTCAGTTCCGTACATGGCTAAATTTGTGGTATTTGCTAAGATGAACGATGCCAGAGAGGGCCGTCTGCGCTGTTACTGCATGACCGATGACAAAATAGACAAAACCCTTGAGCTGCACGAGAACTTCTCCGAAGTGGCCCGCAGCAGGGACATTGAGGTTAGCAAACATCAAATCATATATATATGTGGTATCTATGTATATATACACTGCCCTCAAAAGTTTGGGATCAGTAAGATATAAATAATGAAATGCATGTTTATGATGCAGCAGTGTACACGTGCATGTGTACAAAAATAAAACTCATTGCATTAATGCTAAGTCTCTGACTCTGTCTGACTCACTGCTCTCCTTTTGTTTCTCCTTTCTTTTCCACCCACAGGTGATGGAGGGGATGCCGCTACACTTAGAATGTTCCGGAAACCTGGTGCCCGTGAGGAAAGCCACCCAGCAGCCCCGTAGCTTCAGTTTCCAGGCCTTCAGAGACAACCGGCTACCTGTCTCCATAAAGGTACGTTCATTTGTCTTTCCCTTATTTATTTCTGTCTGTCTGTGAGTGTTTCTTAGGAAATATAGGCTGAGAAGTTCATGCCAACTTCCCTGTGTCAATAATTTGCTTTTTATTTTCAACCTACACATATTTGTGTCATTGAGTGTGTCATTCTTGTGTGTGTGTGTTAGCATTGTTAATCACTTTGTCTGATCATCTTGTCTGTTTTATGTATTCCCTAATGTCTTCAGTAGGGCTGCACATGTATTCAGTAAAAGTTAACTTTAAGTTTAATTAAATTAAAATTGTAATATGGCCTAGTGCGTCCCCAGAGTGTGTCATAATTAGTAAGCTGTCCAGAATGTGGCTTGGTTTTGCATTTTGCACTGCAATTTCCTTATATTGTTCACTGTGAACTCAAAGTGCTTCAGGTTCACATTATTGTATATTTTTACATTAATGTAATTTCAAATATAAGTTATTATGAAAATCTAATAATGTGACACTGGGTCACAGGAGAGGAGATAACAGTAAAAATGATAACAGAAATATTACAGAAAATGTTTTTTACTATTTTACAATAAATGATATTATTGTAATAGTCTAGATAATATTTATAAATATTATTATAATAATCATGACTGATTATTATAATAATATGTATTAATATTATCTGGACTATTATTATTATTATTAATTATAAGAAGAAGACGAAGAAGTATAGTTTATGTAGAATTTATTATGTCAAGTTACCATGGAAATCTAATAATGTAGAAATATTACAGAAAATGTTTTATATGTTATAATAAATGATATTATTTTATTTTCTAAACAATATGAATAAATCACATTTAATATTAAATTAATAATAATAGTAATAATAATAATGTTCAAGTGGTATGTTTTTCAAAAAATGTATGTGTAAGTGAAAAGTGGACAAAGAGAGATAAAGTGGACAAAATTTGTTATGTCCAATTATTCTAATTGTCACGAGAGGAGATAAAAGCAGGAGATTATATTAAAGAAAAAGATTTTTAATATTTTAGATAAAAATTTTTTTATTACTGTTCTAGATCATATTAATTTATAATTATTAATATAATTATTAATAAATGATATTCAAATATTAAATTGTTTTTACTACTACTATTACTGCTACTAATAATAATGTTCAAGTGGTATTGTTTTAAAAAATTGACGTGTGAGTGAAAATGGGACAAAACGAGATAAAGTGGACAGGAGAGACCATAAAAAACCTTGCGACTCTTTCAGGTGCCACTTCCAGTGTACATGTAAAAAGGAACTGGGTTCTTTTTAACTTTCAGTCACTTTCTTTTTGAGAGGAGTTAAGTGTGAAAACCCTTAAATGGTACTGACAGTATAGCGTGGAAAAAACATGACTTGATTTGTTAAAAAAAAAAAAGATAATGCTTTCCTGTTTTTTGCGAGCTGCTGTTTCAATGTGATGTAGTATTTTTTTTCTTTCTTTAAATCAACTACAAATCCGAGATGTTAAATCTTTATCTTATTGCAGTTGGAATCACATTGGCAATATTTGTCAATATTTTTTGTCCAAATGGTGCAGCCCTAGTCCTCAGTGTCTCTGATTTCCCCCAGTGCTGTCCTTCATTTCGGTGTCTGTCATTGTGGCTTCCACTCTTTCTGTGATCGGTCAGCCTCAGACGAGCTGCTCTGTGTTGTATTTTTGGCTCTGTGGTGTAGTGGTTCACCTCGTAACTGTTGTATTATTCTCATGAGCATGCCCTTAACTCTTTCTCCTTCTAGCCTGCTTGCCAGTGTATCTGCCTGCCTGTCTATATGTCTGTCTCACTGTCTCTCTCTCTCTCTCTCACGGTCACTCTCTTACTGTCTGATCTCACAGACGGCCAGGTAAAAGTGAAGGTAAATCTCTCTCTGTCTCTCGCCTGCCTGTGGACTGCCTCCATCCCCTTCCCCACCTCCCGTCAAGCTGTATGAGTCACAGCCGGGCAGCTGCTCTGTCTAACACTCTTTAATCTTTCTCTTTCTCTACCTCTCTCTCTCCTCTTTCACTCCCTTTATTCATTTTCCCCCTCTCTTTTGTTCTCATTTGACCCTTCGCCTGGTTTTCACCCCTCTTTTATCCTGTTCTCCTCTCTCCATCTGTTCCTCCCTCCCTCTCCATTTCCCCTGGCTCATCAGGTGAGAGACGCCAATAAGGAAGCCACCGGGTTCCTGTCCTTCCTGCGCAAGTCCACCAAGTACGAGGACACGCAGCACGTGCTGTGCAACCTCAACATCACCATGCCTCCCTGCGTCAAGGTGCTGTCGCACAATTTCCTCTGTGATCTGTAACACCTGCTCATGTTCTCATAAACTCTGTTCAGACAAAACTAGTTTGCATGTCTGTGTTTTTGTCACTCAGCCTTGGTAAAGATTTCAAAGCAAATTCCCTACTGATTTTTGGGCTGAAGCCAACTTGGGAGACCTCTGAGAAATTGAATCCCATTAAATAACAAATAAATAGTTCACTTTTTGGTCACTGAAAAAGTGGCCTGAGTTTGTTTTCAAGTGTGAACATCCTATAATATAAGCACTTAAATATTAACACAGTAGAGTGTGGGCAAGACATGACTTAATTTAGAAACAAAAGGCATCGCTTTCCTGGTGTTTGAGAGCTGAGCGCTGATGTTTCAGTATGATGTTATGCTTTTTTGCGGTTGAAGTCAGCGATATGAGATTTTAAATATTTTTTCATATTGCAGTTGGAATCATAGTCACATTATTTTTTAAGTGAAAAATATTGTAATTTAAATGTATTAATTAAAATAAAAAAAATATTTTTAATTAATTATTTTTAATTAATAAAATTTTTTTTAAAACCTAATCCTGTCTAAACAGTTATTTTCGACCTTTCAAACTCAAATGACACTCAAAGTGATGTTTTCTCCATTAACTTTTCTCCAGCTCATAATGGAGTTTATGTCACTAGACTGTATAAGTTGTCTAGAGTGGACCATTTAACTCTAGGATTCAATTAAACTACATAATTAAAGAAATTATAATTCTTCTTCAGGGCACATGACATTCAGAATATGTCTAGAGATATCTCAAGATATTCCTTAAAGGTTATGGTTCAGGCTACAGAAATAATAGTCATTCTATTTAAACTGATTAAATTGTACTTAAATGGATTAAAATGGAACGAGAAGTTATTTGTGAGATTCTAGATTTGTGCTTTAAAAAAAAAGAAGACAAAAAAATGGGGGAAAAAATTATGATGCACAAGAAAAACAAAAGTATGTGGTGTATTATAGATAAACACAATTTATCTTGATTTCATCCCATTTTCATATCAAATGTTAATCAAATAAGCTCATTTGAATATATCTTCTGAACATGCACATTTTGTAAAAAGGAAATAAAAGGATGCAGTTGGTGTTTCAGATGTGATATTGTCTCCAGAATCTCTTCCTGTGTATTACAACACCTTCAAGCTATTTTTATACATGAGCACTTTGCCTTGATGTGAATGTACATGCTCCAATAAATACTGTATGAAAGACAAAACTACAGCACTGTATTTACTCAGTATTTTTGCTTTAGGTGGTGGGTAACGACGAGCGGCGGAGAACGTTGACCCCTCTCGCCCTGAGGGAGAGGTACAGCGCCCTGAACGAGCATGGCCTGGGTAAGACATAGTGGCACCATGACGCGTCCCCTCAGCTGTGGAGGAGGGGGGCTTCTGAATGCTGTGCCCATATCCTTGCTCCTATACCTGCCCACTCTCTCATGCATGGCTGTGATTGGGCATTGGATGCTAAGCACTGCTCTCTTTTATGAGGGTGATGCTGGGATTGCACTCAGACGGGCCGCAACTTATACAAACAATTCAGAGAAATGGGCGGCCGTTATATTTACTGAGCGAATGAGCAGTAATGTAGCGCATGATGCTGGTTTGATTACAGCATAAATACTCTTAGCATGGCAAGCTCCAGCTTTGAGAATGAGCTTTAAAGGGAAAGTACTGCTAAAAACTGCCTGTTGAGAGGTGTTGAAGGTGGGGGAGTGATTATAGAAAGGGTCCAGAAGGTTCGAAGCGGTTTCGCCATCCAAAACACATCTTCGTTGTTCTCGAAGCAGATGAAGCCAACTAATGTATGTAGAGCGCAGATTTTGGCCAGGTCTTGGTAAGTGATGACCAATGTTATAGTTTCAGTCACCAGTTATAACTAATCTAGGTAATTTGACTGTATCTGGGAAATTTTACAAGATGTTTATAGCGGCTGTAATATTTCCATTACATTAATTTCATATACAGTTCTAAATGGAAACTATAGATGCCTTTCTAGAAGAGGCTGTTTTCATTACTTTCCTGTTATTCTGATCTTTATTAACAAGATCTTTACTGAACATGTTCATTATTCATATACCAACACAAGTATACACTACTGATCAAAATTTTAGGGTTGATAAGATTTTTTTTTTTTTTTTTTTAAAAATTGAAATTCATACTTTTATTCTGCAAGGATGCATTCAATTGATCAAACATGACAGTAAACACATTTATGATTTTAATGTCAAGCAGCAAAAACTGTTTTCAACATTAATAATAATATCAAATGTTTCTTGAGCAACAAATCAGCATATTAGAATGATTTCTGAAGGATCATGTGACACTGAAGGCTGTAGTAAGGATGCTGAAAATTCAGCTTTGCCATCACAGGGATAAATTACATTTTAAAATACAATAAAATAGAAAACAGTTATTTTAAATTGAAGTAATGTTTCAAAATATTACGATTTTTACTGAATTTTTGATCAAATCAATGCAGCCTTGCTGAGCATAAGAAAAATCTTACAGATCCTAAACTTTTGAATGGTAGTGCATATGTTCAGTTATTTATATATCACAGATAAGACCATATATCAACTAACCCCAAATATATGGTCATATTGTTATTGTGGTCTATAGTCTATATTGTATTACGTCTCTTGGGTTTTTCAGTGAAAGCCACAGTCAAATATATGTTTTCCACTAGCATAGCTGGTTATGTTATTAAAGTGGTGCATCATTGGACTGTGGAAACAGTGATATATTTTGTTTTTGATTCAGCCACTGTGAATGCCATGGAGAGAACCGAGCTAAAGATCACAGTAATAGCAGAACAGCTGGGACTGAGCTGGACCGGTACGAGCTTTACTTCTTGTATCTCTTTTCATTACCTCTCAGTTTTTTCCCTTAACTCACATTCTATAAGTGCTTTCATCTGTTTTCGTTTGTAGAGCTGGCGAGGGAGCTGCAGTTCAGTGTGGACGACATAAACCGGATCAGAGTGGAGAATCCCAACTCCCTCCTGGACCAGAGTTCAGCTCTGCTCAACCTGTGGGTCAGCCGAGAGGGCAAGAAGGCCAAGAGTGAGGATCCATAATTAACACTCTACATCTTTGTGGCTTTATACATATCATTTATACATAACGGTTTATTATCATCAACCAAGATGAAAACTATTGAATTAAAAACCCTGAACTGGAATAAAATAATCAACGGAAGGTGGACATAAAACTAAAACAAAACTAAACTAAAAATAGTGGATGAAAAACAAACTAAAAAAATAAATAAAAGTGAACAAACAGTGAAAATTGCAGTATTTACAGTATTTATTCATCACTGTAAATGATAGTTAATAAAAATACAGCTGTTCATTGTTAATTCATGTCCTGTTTCCTTGTATTTACATCCTCTTCCATCATCATATCTTCAGTGGAGAACCTTCATAAAGCTTTGAAGAACATTGACCGGGCAGATATTGTGAAGTCTCTGGAGGCTCAGGCTCCACAGGTGCTTCCCGAGGTGGCGGAGGAAGGAGCCTGCAGACTGGCGGATCGTGACTCCGCTCTGCTTTCCCCTAGTGTCGTCAACGGTAAGAACAGACTGCAGCTTGCACTGATCTTCTAATCCTCTGGACTTTTAGGAGAGAAATGACATTAGACACCAAGTAAACCAATGCATAGATGTTTGAAGCTGCATGGGTTGGCCACTAATTGCATACTATCTTGAGTATCCCAAAATCCTGAGCATGAAATGTAGGTTGAAAGAATGTCTGAGACAGGATTTAATGAGAATTTTTTTCCAATGATGAATCAGGCATGCCATGGCAATGCTATGATTCCCGCCTTTTCCATTCATTACTAAACAAACCTCTCAGTAGCGACAAATTGTCATGTTGTGGCATTACTTGACATATATGAGATTTCAAGTCTCCTTGAATGCAACAGGTACTCAAATGCAAATGCAAATGCAAATTTTTTTTTCAAATATGCCAGTGAGGAACAGATAGGAGTATGCAGGCTCATATGGATGAGTACTTTCTGGATGTTGTCTTCTGGATGAGAGAAGACAACAGGCCTCCATACTTGTGTCTGCGCCTCTCCGTCTCTCTTTTCCTCCTTCTCTCTTTCTCTAAACATGTCATCTGCAGCCCAGCCGCCCTACTCTTCCTCCTCACAGCTCTCCTCTTCAACCTCCGACCTCATAATGACCTCCTCTGGGCCTTCTCTTTTCCTGTCATTCTTTGTTTGTTTTCTAGTTCCCATTTTGTGTGGGAGCTGTGCTGTCTGTGTGCATGCGCATGCTGCTTGACATGCTCTTTTTTGCCTTTTCTGAAAAAAAAAAATGTAATTGTGAGACCTTCAAGTAAAAAGAGGCCTGTTTATGTTGCTCAATAACAAACGTGTGTATGCATGGCATGCTTTCAATGTATGGGTTTCTGCCTGTGTATATTTTCACTAATTGTTTTCCTGAGTGGCGGTTTAACTCCTGAATTTCAGTAACTTCAGTAACTCCTCTTCTCATCTTTGGTGAATATATTAATGTTGTTTTAGGCCCTGCTGTTCTGTTGGCAACAGTTTACATAATGCTCTGGAAAATGGATCTGTGACCGTATCATGTTGCAGAAGCATTTTTGGAACGTTATGTGTCAACTGATTTATTGCTGTTGGTGTGTTTCAAGCGTGTTTGCGTGTCAGGCATTGATTGTGTGACACCATTTTCAACAGCAGAGCTCTGTGTTGTTGCTGATGTCATGGACTGTATTCACAAAAAAACAAAAAGATGTAGCTATTAGCGCCCCCTTCTGGCTAACATATAACATTTCACATTTTTATAACCTTTATTTTTCAAGGCTAATCCCTTTCTCGTGGCTAAAAGAGACCAAAATGGCTGTATAAAACAATAGAAACAACATTTGCATAAAATCACATGCAAAATATAATTATAAGATGTGAATGCAGTCCTAATCTATATGTGTGTATGTGTATGTGTGTGTGAAGAAAACCACCTTATCAGGCCATTTAAGATAATCAGATCACTCAGAACAATGTTGTGTGTGATATCAAGATGTTTCAGAGCCATAATTTGGTGTTGTGTGTTGTGCTGTAATGTTATGTGTGTTTGACTGTTTAAGTGTGTTTACATTTGTTTGCATGCGTACCTGTGTGGGTGTGTGTGTTTAGATTTATGTCTTCATATGTGGCTTTTGTACATAACAATCAACAAAGTTTTTACACATTTGCCCCATGTTGTGTTGCTTTATTTGTATTGGAGTGACAGTAGATTTATTGTGTCTCACAGTGTGCACTGTGTGTGTGTTTCTGACTCGTGTGTTTTCTCATTACTGGGGGCACAGTGAAGGTCCACAAATTCATCGCTGTAAATCATCCTCATTCTCTTCTTCAATATTTCTTCATTTCTTCTTTTCATTATCATTCCATTACAACAGTAATATATCATCCATCCAACCATTGAACCATCCATTAATCCATCCACCTACATATACAGCTACAACATTTGCTCTTATGGTGCCAGTTGTTTGATAAATTAGTAAAATAGCTTAATGCTACAACAAAACTCTTGACAAGCTTTTTGTGTTTTCTCAACCTTTAGTTCTTGTTTTGTGTTATTAGGCAAGTTTGTCCACATTATTATGGTCTAAAGCCCCGTTCACACCAAGAACGATAACTATAAAGATAACGATAAAGATATAGTTCTAAAAATCGTTCTCAGTATTTAAGAATAGCAGAGTCCACACCACAACTATAACGATAAAGACAAAGAGAAACGATATAGTTGGAATCACTTTCAAAACGATTTTTCTCCATCTGATGAACGATAAAAAATTGACAGCCAAACAGAATCCATCCTGCTGTAATGAGCTGAAGAATTTAAAGCGGCAGACGCATGTACGCTTAGAATAAACAGACGATATCGTTCGCTGGTGTGGACCATAGACTGTATAAAAACATGGACGTAGTGTCCGTGACGTCACCCGTAGGTTTCTGAAGAATGTTTTTTGAAGCTCAAAGTGGGCGAGCTATATAGACCAAAAACACTTTTTGTACCAGGCTGTAAACTTATTTTTTTCTTTTGTAAAGTTGGGCATTTTAACATGGGAGGTCTATGGAACTGACTCCCTTTTGGAGCCAGCCTCTAGCGGCCAGTCGATGAATTGCAGTTTTAGTCACTTCTGTGTTGGTTTCACGAGAGAGAGCGGAAGGTTGCCACTTGGTGTGGACGCTAATATCGTTATCTTTATAGTTATCGTTCTTGGTGTGAACGGGGCTTAAATTTGTTCAACTTTCTAAATGTGAATAGTAACATTTTAATAATCTGTTTTTAGCAAACAATTATTTAATGCATTATATCATGTATTTTTTTTATTTATGTATTTGCATACATTGTTTAGTTGCTTTCATTGCAAAGCTAAAAATAATACTTATTAAACACTTTTTAATCTGAGAGGAACAAAAAAAAAACATTTGGCTGAACCTTAGCTTCTTAATTTAGCAATACTTTGGTTGCTTTAAGCATATTAAGTTAGTATTGTATTTTTTGTTGATGCATATTTTCATTGTTTCACAAAAATTTATCTGAAATCAAACAATAATTGCCAGACACCCTGCAGTACAGCTGTGGACTCCCAGACTCCAGCAATATAATACAAAAATTATAAAATAGCCATGACTGATGATTATATTTCACTTTATTTTTAAATATTTTTTAGCTTGAATTAAAAAAAAAAAATGTATTATAATATGTACTTGTGTTGTGCTGTAAGAATGATAAAGTACATCAAAAAAGTTTAAAGTTTAAGTAAGAGTTGGTCCCTATTAAACCTTAATATCCAGAATGCCTCTTTAAAACTATTTTGTGTTCTTATTAATCATGCATACTATTGCACACATCATGCAAATACAAATCAGTTATATATATTGCAATTCCATATTCATTTGAACAATCCCAGGAATGTGTATCCTACATTATGGTCATACACACAAGAGAAAAGCCATTGTTGCAAACTCATTGAGTTAGATGTACTGCGTGGTCATGTACACAACTTTCATACGTATATGAGAAAGAAAGAGTTGACATCAGTCAATTTTGAATCTGAGTATATTAGTGTGTATGTGGATGGGGAAGGTATGTTAAAGAAATATTCTGGGTTTTCAACAAATTGAACATAACAACATAACATAACTTGTCCCTTATTGTCCCCTCACATGTGCAAATGAATAGTAGTATACTTAAATGTAGTATTCATTCAGTATACTACAATATACAACAATATACATTTTTGAGTGTTTTGTTCTTGAAGCTAATAAATAAAACTTTTTTGACATCGCCATGAAATAAACATTTTGTTTTGTAAATGAATGTTATTTATCTGTTTTTTAATAATTCATTCATGTATATCCTTAATTAATTTATGAATTTATTTATTTATTTGACCTTAATGTTTTAACTTGATCTTCTGGTGAAACTGGTCAGACGTTTTACTGTCTGCCAGACTTCTCTAATCATTTCTTCTGGATAAATCCATCGCTACTTATGTTACATTGCGACTTTAAATGATATTTTTTATTGTTTTTGACTAAATTAAGATTTGATAACTATTGTATAATACCGAGTTATTGCAAAATGTAGCTTTTGTCACTTTAAACCCCTGATATACTCACGTGTGTTCTCATGTGTTCTTTGCATATGGTTAAAAAGAATACCTGAGCAGTAGTATATTGTTAACAAACATCCAGGCTATATTTTTGCTATATTTAATGCTGTTTAAACACTGCTCCAAGTGTGGGCAGTGTTTAGACAGCATTAAATACGAGAAGGGTCTGGCTGCAGCCTCGCACTTGCATTCTCAGACTTGCATTCTCAGACACTTGCACTTCCGCTAGCGACGTCACTTGCAGTCCTTATTTTTTATTTTGTTCTATTTTTTATTACTTTTTGTTTGAATCTCTCAACATTTTACAACAGTAGCCAGGTGGTGAAGACAAGAAAAAAGAAACTAAATTACAATGTCACTTGCACTCTCCGATACCTGCGACATCACTTGCAATCGACACAAATCGTGCGTGTTGCCAATGGAGACAAGAAGCTGTGGTGATTAAACGATTAAAACTAAATTAGTACTATGACAGTACATTAAATAATAACTATATATCGAATTTGATCTTTTAATTGCACTTAATGTATCTTAATACAT